CTCAGAATAAACTTCTTTAAATTATTTTACAGAGTACAGCTTCTTTTTTTTTTCAACAAGAGAAAATCCTGGAAGCAGCAAGAGAAAAACTACTCGTAGTTTACAAGGGAACCCCAGTGATTAACAACTGATTTCTCATCAGAAACAATGAAGGCCAGAGCAGTGGAATAACAAAGTGCTGAAAGGAAAGTCTATGAAAAGGAATAGAGTATCTTATAGGCATGATATTGTAAATTATGAAAGGCATGAAATATAAATTAATTAATTATGCATACTTAGGAATACTTCTGTTTTTCAATTATGAACTCATCTGGAAGAGGGGACAAGAGAGTTACATAAGAAAAATAGTCATTTTTTCATCTACTCTCTCCACCTCAGTATCTGAGGAAACTCTGTTCATTAACTTAGTGAATCAATAAAGTCCTAGATACTATGTTCTAAATATGAATATTCCTTTTTTATTTATTTATTTATTTTTGAGACAGAGTCCCACTCTATCAGACTGGATAGAGTGCTATGGCATCATAGCTCACAGCAACCTCAAACTCTTGGGCTGAGCAATCCTCTCATCTTGATACCGGATTCTGATACTGGATTTCCAGTCTCTGGGTCTTGGTGGTTTGAAGAATGAAGCCACAGACCACAGGATCAGCAGTAGGTTAGGTTTTATTTAACAAGTGTTACAGCTCTCACAAAGAACCAAACCTCTTTGCAGAGCAGGATCATCAGTAAGATAGGTTTTATAATACAAGTGTTACAGCTCTCACAAGGAACCAAACCTCCTTGCAGAGCAGGATCAGCACTAAGATGGTGTTACAGTTCTCACCAGGAACCAAACCTCCTTGCTCTCCTGCTCTCTCCGAGGTCTGCATTTGGGCTTGCTGCTTAGGGGCTCATATAGGGGCAGTTATCCAGTGAGTTTTGGGGTCCTGAAAATGGACCAATCAGGAGGAGGTTTTGAAAATAGATCAATCAGGGATGCACTGGAGGAATCGCCAGTGTGATCCCCTGCTCGCGTCTGGTTCCTTTGGCTACTGGAGCCTTCTTTGGGGGGGGGGATGTTCTCCCCCACCCCCTCCGTTTGCCTACTCTCCAGCCTGCTGGTTCCTCTGCTGGCTGCCACCACCAAGATCACAAAGACAGAGGTAGCAGGTGCTCCAGCCCCACTCGGCTGAGCTAGCTGGGGCACCACCTGCCTGGTATCAATCTCACCCCCTAAGTAGCTGGGATTATAGGTGTGTGCCACTATGCCTGGCTATTTTTTCTATTTTTAGTAGAGATGGGATCTCACTCTTGCTCAGACTGGTCTCAAACTCCTGAGCTCAAGCAATCCACCCACCTCAGCATCCCAAAGGGCTAAGATTATGGGCAGAATATTCCTTTAATATTCTGTAATGAGGGAATCTTGGTCCATAAGGTCTTATAACTCTAAGCTGTTGAAGACAGAATGACTTGGGATGCTGTGAGCAGCACTGTTAAGGAGAACTTCCTGCAAGAAGGACATGTTTAAATCTGCAATGTTCAATATATGTGGCTCTTGAACACTTGGGATGGCTAATTTTAAATTAGTTGAATTTAAATTAAATTAACTGAGGAACTGAATTTAAATTTAAATTTAATTTAATTTAAATTTAAATAACCCACATATGGTCAGTGGCTACTGATTTGAATACCAAAGTCCTGGTGTCTCCAAAACCACATTAAATCTATTTCCTCTGGTTACTTTTCTGGAGTAAAGTACATAGTTTATTCTTTGTCATGAACCTTAGCTTAATAAACACTTTTGAACATAGATAAGAATGAATTTCCCTGAAAGAGGAGAGAGAAACATTAGCAGAACCTGCTACAAAAAAGCTTTTTACTATTTGGTTCCTAAATGAACCTGGGACAGAAAGATAACTATAATTCTTAAAGCAGAATTTATGCCCATAAAGTGGCTCTAAAAATATTTAAATTGACTAGAAGAGGGCCAGATACATTATGAGTACTCAAAAACACTTGTTGAATAAATAAATATAATCCACATAATTAAAGGGCAAGTTGTATGATATTCTCATTTTTCTATAATCTATTCCAATAATGTACTTACATAAAATGCAAATGAGAGTGAAGTTCTCTGTTTTCAAATAAATTGAACTTGGAACATTCAAGGGTTTGTCAAGGTGTGGTCCTCTGTTCTCTTATTCCCCTATCTCTCTCCATTCTCACCACTGGCATAAGAGTACATGGATTATTAGCAAGATAGAGTTTGGTTTGTCTATAGATTGTTTCCTGGAAGAGTGACTATTTAAGGTACTTGAAAGGGAATTGGATATTTGGAGATGCTGGCGGTGGGGGGTGGGGAGGATTAAACACAGGACTTATATTAAAATGTAATTGTTTGGAGATAGTGGGCAGGGATTGAACCCAGGACCTTACATTTAAAGTAACTGGATAGGAGCAATTAAGTGTTTACTCCATCTTCCTTACTTCCAGGGTGTTCCTGATCAACCATTGGTAAGAGGGTCTCCTTTTGGTATTGAGCTAAGCATATACTCCATTTCTGCCAGTGCCAGCCACTCACAACTATAGTAATGATTGATCAACTAGGTTTTATTAATGATGATTATAATTGCAATATTATTGATGACAACCACCATGTATTGAGTGCCTATTCTATAAAACCCAAAACTGTAGAAACTGATGCCTTAATTCTCTTGTCCAGGGGGTTTCTAATTCTTTTGACTGAGCATGCCTTAGTTATTGCTCCCCTAATCCAATGCTTTGAAAAAAATTTTTTAAAAATGTACTTATGACCCCTCTATATTTTATATTCATCAAAACTATGTGATTGCTAAGCAGAACTTCTGACCAACAGAAGATAGCTAATGTTACCAACCAGCTGTCTTGATCTCAAAAGCAAGAAGAGTTGATAGTTCTCTTAGCTCTTGTAGCTTTGTGTTGGAAAACTATTCTGAAAATTTCACTTTTGGGGGGATACTGAAAATAACTCAGAGGTAGCCATTTTTGTTTTTAGGAACTCTTTTTAGGGGCTTGAGAACTTCGGGATAATTCCTTTAGATCAGGCGTCCTCAAACTACGGCCTGCAGAGGACATTTATCTGGCCCACTGGGTGTTTTTGCCACCGCTGCCTGTCCTGCTTAGCAGCCGACTCGTCCCAGGGCCCGCGGTCCAGCCCTCCAACGGTCTGAGGGACAGTGAACTGGACACCTGTTTAAAAAGTTTGAGGACCCCTGTGTTTAGATTGAATTGTTCATGCATTTTTTGTCTCAAACTTGGGGTACTCACTTTAAGAGCCTGAAGTGGATAGGGTTGCCATGTTTACAGTTGAATGGTCCTGTACTTGTGTATTGTATCTAGGAAACCAATTAAGGACATTGCTAACATGTAGGTTACTGGAATTTCCTAGGTGACATTTTCCTGTTGTGATGGTACAGGAAGCACCAGTCCTGTGATGGCAGCTTCTGGAATCAGGTGCTATGGGGTTACATCCTAGCTCTGCCAGTATTATAAGTAAGCATTGTTGAAGTACTATCTACAAGCCTTAAAGTTCGCCAATTGTAAACATGTGGTGTAATGATTTTTTGTAAATTTATCAATCACCACAATACAGTTTTAGAATATTCCCTTCACCTTCAAAAGATCCCTCATACCCCTTTGCAGTCAGTTTCCATTCCTACACCTAGTCCCCCTACACCTAGTCCCCCCCAACAGGGGGGTTGTAGCCAGGGTCTGGTTACTCCCTGCACAGAAAGCCAATTACTGAGACAATGAGGATTCAGTATCAGAGGAAAACAATCCAAATATAAAATGAAAGAAATTAAGTAAAACCACAGAATTCCACATTTCAATGACTCATGAAGCATGTTCACTTCCTGTTCATTTCCTAGTTTTGTACTAGACATAATAACACATTTCCTAGAAATAATAACAAATTTATAACAGTGACAAGGCATTACAATGGTGGTACCAAGTAGACAAATAATACAAGTCTGGGCAACCAGAAAGAGGACCAGCTGAAGTTCTAAACTTGGGGGTCTTCAGCACACAGGCAGTCTTGAAAGTCAAGAGATTGTATAATATCACCAAAGGAGTGAGCACAGACAGGAAAGAGAGGGGGCCAAGGACCAACTTCTGGGGTTCTTCATGGGTGACGTCAGAGTCTCCTCGTGCTCTTGGCTTTGGTTGGCACATCCACCCTCCATCCCCACCTCCAAAAGGTTGTCTTCTCTCAGCATCCAGTGACCTCTTAAAAGCATAATTCAGATTATTTTCTAAGCCTCTTCAATGGTCTCCTATTGCTCTTGGGCAAAAGTCCAAACTCCTCACCAAGAGGAGGCTCCACCCACATCCTCTGACCTTTTTTCCTCTCTATAGACCAGTTCCTTTACTGCATAGTCCCATTTATTCCTGAAATACATCCATCTTTCTCATTTCAGGGCATTGTACTAGCTCACCCAGGAGCCTGGAATCTCATCTTTGCTGGGCTGGTTCCTTCTTTTCATTCAGATTCCCACTCGAAATGCCACCTCTTCACAGAATTCCTTCCTTTGCACCCCCTCTGAAGTAGTCCCTGAATAGTCACCCAATCACATCACTCAATGACACTTTTTTCCTCACACTTGTATCAGACATTATCTTACTTATCTGCTCATCCTCTGTCTTTCTTTCCAGAATTTAAACTCCATGACAGAGGGATGCTGTCTTGGTTACTATCATTTTCCCACTGCCTTGAATATTCATTAAATATAAGTGTGATTGAGGTAGATGTCACATTCTTTTCAGTTTTCTATTTCAGGGAGAGAACCACTTTTTATTTGTCTGGGCTTTGGTTTTTCTTTCTTGATGTCCACCTTTTAACTTCTTCACCAGCTCCTCCATGGTAACAAAGCCTTATTCAAAAGGCTGTGAATCAGAGGATTGTGCGAAGAAGTTACTCTAATCTAAGTGCCCCCGACCTTATGGAATGTACCCAGTGACTCCCAGGAAGAGATTTGGTGAGAGGGCCAGGGCCAGGTCTGAAGTAGCATCTGCTGCAGTGCAACCATGGAGGAGGTTCTAGAGCCATTCTTCATTTTTGTAGGGCTGCTGGTGTGCCTGGTCTGCCTGGTGAAGTGTCTGAGATTCTCCAGATGTGTTTTACTGAACTTCTGGAAGGTTAGACCAACACCTTTCTTGCGATCAATGGGCCAGTGGGCAGGTAAGAGTTCCATTTCTTGTTCTATTGTTCCTGTTTATTATTATTTACATCTCTCAAAATAGATACTGCAACTTTCCTCTTTGAGAGCAAAGATGTAATTCCTTCAGGGGATTTTGATTTGGGGGATTAAAAGCATGAGTGAAAGTAGAATCATCTGAAACACAAGATGTGGGGCTTCAGGAGAACAACTAGACCAGGTTGCTGCTCTTGATAGTGTGCTTGTCTTTGGCCGCACTAGCTGGGTTGTCTCTTTCTGAAGTTTTCTGATGATACAAATAATAAATAAAGCAAAAAAATTTGCATCCTCATCTTCAGATTTCAAAAAGTCCAGGGCACTTCCATTTCATTAAAGGGTATTTCAAAATTTTTTATTCATATACTTTTAATTCACTTTATTAAAAAATAATGGTCCAATCATTTTTAAGAAGTGAGGGTTACAAAATCAAGGTCACTAAGATATCTATCAAGCCACTTTTTCAAGATGGTTAGATATGAAATTGGTCTGGTTTGTGTCAATTAACTACAGCCTCCCAAAGGGATTTACCTGCTAGAACCACCATGTGGAATTTCAGTCCCATAACTGAGGTTAAGCTGAAGGGAATGAAGTCATAGTTTCTGCATCTCATTGAGTGAAATCCTGAGGTCTTTGCAGGGGCTTATATTTTAAAGTTGGGTGCAAAAAAAGGATTTAAAAAATTTTACAGTGACTTTAAAAATACCATGCAGGCTAACTAAGAAAGATCATAACCTTTCCTATTTAAGCCTTATAGGGCTGACAGATAAGATACAAGCTACCTAGTTAAATTTGAATTTCAAACAAATAAGAAATAATTTTTTAGTATGTTATAACACAAAAGTTGCATGTAACATAGTTATGCTAAAAATTCATAATTTACCTGAAATTCAAATTTAACTGGACATTTTATATGGTCATCTGCTAAACCTGGCAAACTTACAAACTTAGCGATGGAAATAAAAACAAAAATTACCCTATGAGAAATGTTTGGAATGACAAATGAATTTTTAAATCTTGCTTCCGGCATTTGCTCTGTGTGTGTGTGTGTGTGTGTGTGTGTGTGTGTGTGTGTGATTTTGGCCTCTCAGGGCAGTGTGCTGTCTGTAGCGAACTTGCTCAGCAACAGAAGATTGAATATTTTGGATCCAAATATCCCACCCTCCACAGATTCAAATGCCCATGTGCTGAGTAGATTCCTAGCTCTGAACAGCCACTGCTCATTTGTGTGTGGCAAAGCCCATCTGAGAACACACATTGCAAAAGAAGTTCAAATGGGGCCAGAGACTAAGAGCATTTGTTGACTCAAAGTAAAAAATCATACTCTTAATCTGTTTTTATGAGTCAAGATGAAAGAGAGTTATTTAGTGAGAGTAAAATGTCTTTGGACGTAGGGAGACATCAAGGAGATAATATATTTCAAGTATGGAGGGGAGAAGAAAGTCTAATTACCAGAGACTAAATTTTTAAACTCCTCAGAATACCTTGAGCTCTGGGCTTGATTTCCTAATTATTTCATTAGTACATTTCATAGGCCGCCTGTATTTAAATCCTTTTGTCATCGTTTTTAGCTATATGATTTGATCAAGCTAAGAACTTTCTCTCCCTTGGCTTTCTTATCAATCAACTTAGGATAATAATGGTTTCTGCAATGTAAATTTGTTTTGAACATTAAATCAGATGAGGCATCTGAAACATTTGAAACAGTACACAGTAGAAGCAAGCCCTTGACTGTTAGCAGTAGTTATTATTGATGTTATTATCTTCACTATAGCACAGGTCCTATATTGGTAGTTTTGAAGATTCCCCTTGTTGGAGAGGAAAGGTGAGGCATGAGATAACTCTGGGTATAGTACTTTTACCAACAGGAATAGATGATAGTATGCATAGTTCCACTTAGACGTTCCTAAATGAACAGATAAAATCTGTAGTAATGAGGGTGCTTCTGTCATGAAGCTCCTACAACTTGGCTTATACTCACTTTCAAGTAAGCTAAACATATCATTTGTTCATACATTTTAAGAGTGCCCTTTAGTTTTTGGTGCAAAAGTAAATTGCCAGGTACATACTGTACATATATATTAAATTGTGAATTTTTAAATTGTGACACTCACAAGAATGAGGCTTACCGTAGAGGTCAACCATTAAATACATGTATAATGTTGCATGTTAAAGGACTAGAAGACTTGATTGTTGTACATTAAGAGATAGTATAGGCTCGGCGCCTGTGGCTCAAGCGGCTAAGGCGCCAGCCACATACATCTAAGGTGGGGGGTTCGAATCCCCAGCCCGGGCCCGCCAAACAACAATGATGGCTGCAACCAAGAAAATGGCCAGGTGTTGTGGCAGGCGCCTGTAGTCCCAGCTACTTGGGAGGCTGAGGCAGGAGACTCGCTTGAGCCCAGGAGTTGGAGGTTGCTGTGAGCTGTAATGCCATGGCACTCTACCCAGGGGGATAGCTTGAGGCTCCAGCTCAAACAAACAAACAAACAAAAAAAGAGATAGTATACATTCTTCAGCCTCCTTCATTGTACAGCATTCCCTTTTTACATTTTTGTATTTTCCTCTTTGCTAGGTTCCCTAACTTCCACAAGCTTTGATTGTTGCTGTCCTGTGGGGAGAGGGTGGGAAGAGGCAGAACTCAACTTTTGGAAAGAACCTTGATGTGTCATTACAATGACAGATGGGTGCCTGGGTAGAGCCTACCCTTGCAGAGTTAAGGCTTACCAAATACATACAGGGGCTGGATAAAATGTTTCCTGGTTGAGGTTCTTTGTTTCACTTCGGAATGTGTTTTCCCTGGCCTCATCAATCCCTCTTTAAAAAGGGAGCGGGGGAGGGGCAGCGCCTGTGGCTCAAAGGAGTAGGGTGCCAGGGCCCTACATGCCAGAGGTGGAGGTTCAAACCCAGCCCCAGCCAAAAACTGCAAAAAAAAAAAAAAAAAAAGCATCATTTTGAGCATCTAGAAAAGGGTGTCTGTCAAGGGGTAGGAGAGAGGGCTGGAGGGCAGAGAATGCTGCTTGGGAATATGAAGTATTCTGGAGAGTAGGCTTGCAAGAATACATAGCCAGTGAGAAAGAGAAGTTTAAAGATTAATTCTGTCATTTAAAGCCACTCTGGATTTTTGCAGTGATCACTGGAGCAGGAGATGGAATTGGGAAAGCATACTCATTCGAGGTAAGTTGTCTTCTTGGAGACTTTCTCCTCCCCTTGTATTGAACACATTATACTTATGTGACACCCACCTTAAACACTACTTTTCTGAACAGAAAAGGGATAGACATCATGCATTTAAGAGGGAAGCTATCTTCTACAGAAAAGCAAACTAAAAAATCATAATCTCCTTCCCTGGACACCTTTCCAAAATACAATGATATCAGGGTGGTGCCTGTGGCTCAAAGGAGTAGGGTGCTGGCCCCACATGCCGGAGGTGGTGGGTTCAAATCCGGCCCCAGCCAAAAACTGCAAAAACAAACAAACAAACAAACAAAAAAACAAACTGATATCCGAAGATGGTATTACAATGTATTTCCCTTAGGATTTGTTTTACGAATTTATGTGGTAAGTGTTTATATATTTAAATAAAAATTTTTTTAATGTGTAGATTACTTTCCTTTTATTTACCCTCTGTATTAAGCTAGGGCATATATTGATTTAAAAAAAATTATTTGTGTAGGCAGGACATATTATCAATGACTTTTACTTTAAGTAGACTAATGGGTATTACAAAATATTCTATTATTTAAAAGAAGACCTGACACAGCAGAGAGTCATTGGAATATGATTAGTATTTTTGGTATTTCCTTTTAGACTTGTTTCTATTTATCTATCTAAACTATCTATGCAGATAGGTAGATAAATAGTTATATTTTTAAAGAATGCATTTATCGCATATGTGGTTTCTTATGTTATTATCATTACAAATTTCACATTTTCATTAATGAAATACTGTTTCTTAGAATGTGTATATATATATATATATATTATTTCTTCCACATGCCTATTACATTGACCTTTAGAACCATATCAAATATAACAGAAGAATAGAAAGAATCTTAGAAATTGTAAGAAGATGGCTGCTAAAAATTCAGTAACACCATGACCAGGTGCAGTGGTTAATGCCTGTAACCCCAGCAGTTTGGGAGGCTGAGTCAGAAGGATTGCTTGAGTCCAGGAGTTCAAAATCAGCCTGGGTAATATGATAAGTGCCTATAGTCTCAGCTACCAAGGAGGCTGAGGCAAGAGGATCACTAGAGCTCAGGGGTTGGAGGCTCTAGCAAGCTGTAATGATACCACTGAACTCTATCTTGGGTAGTAAAGTTGTTGCCAAAAAAGAAATTGATGATACTTTAAAATATAATGAAAAGCATCTCTATTCATGGTAGAAAAATAATCCTAGAAACACAATATAAAATTTGAAGGCCTTTTAAAAGAAAATTATAAAACTCCATTGAGAAATATGAGACATTCTGAATAAGGGGGAGGGGGGGAATGCGACATTCCTGAAAAAAAGATAATTAAAATCGAGCAATTTCTCTCAAATCCCAGATAAGTATATTAAATATCCCAGATCATTTTTTTAAGTATTACATTTTTTAAAAAATCATTTTTTAAATGTTACATTTGGTTGTGAGCATTTTCTTGTGTCATGATTTTAAAATGACAACATAGTAGTCTATCAAGTGGATGGCCTATGATTTACCCATTTTCTGGTTGGAAATTTTAGTTTTTTCTAGTTTTCCTTTATTTTACATAAAAATAGCAATAAATACATGCACTTTTCTGCTTACCTCATTATTTTGGGACTTTACTTCAAGTCCTTGAAGTAAACTTGCTGGATTAGAGGTTATAAACATATTTAAGAATATTGTGCCTTCCTTTAAGTTATAGTAATTTATACTGCGTTCTGAGAGAGATGTTGTCTTAGTTTAGTTTGCTATAGCAAATTACGATAAAGTGGTGGCTTAAGCAAATATGTACTTCTCACAGTTCTGGAGCCTAGGAAGTCCAAGATCAAGGTGCCGGCAGATACGGAGTCTGGTGAGGGCTCGCTTTTTGGTTTGCAGACGGCTGTCTCACATGGCAGAGGGCAGAGAAGGGGGAAGCAAGCTCTCTCGTTCTTCTCACAAAAGCATGAATCCCAACCTGTGGGCTTCACCCTCATGAGCTGACCACTTCCTCATGGCCCCAACTCCAAATATCGCTGTATTAGGGGTTAGGATTTTAACATACAAAATTTAGGGGGACACAAATACTCAGTTTCTATGGAAGCTGCATTCAACCACAGTACAGTAGCCAAGTGTTTTCTTGCCCCTGAAGGCCTGCATCATAATAAAACCATCTTGTGTGAAATGACAGGGCAAAGTATCTTGGAGGCACTTGATAGAAACTTTCAGGATATTAGCACCGCCAAACCATGCCCCCGGTAAAAAAGGTCCTTGTGCTGGTCTTTTGGGTCTGGCCCCCTCATCCTTCATCCCTGATGAGGACTTTTAGTCACTGAACTTGGGCTTCAACTCTGTTTTTTTAAGTTAAAGAGTTCTTTGCTTTCATCCTAATCATGTACAGTGACTTACCAGTGGTCAATAGTGGTCAACATTTGAAAGAAGAGTGGTCATATTTGAGTTTTGAGGTTGGAGCACCACCCACCAACCACTTTTTAAAACAAGTGTGTTCCGATCCAAAAACTCGGAAGGAAAGCTTTTCTAGTTATATTTGCATTAAAACTATATAAACCTTTGATATAACAATTCCTCTGCTTAGACCATGTTTTTGGAAGGCCCTGATATCAACTGATATTAATAACCTTGCCTCTAAGTTCTCTGACTATTGAACAATTCGTGTTCTTTCTTTCTGATTTTCTAGATTGTTTCCTCAAATTTACGCTGACATAACCTACATGTGGTCCCTTTGATATCTCCATATATATACTCCATATATATATGCGGTAACATTTGTTATCTTGTATCTCTTATAAAGTCAGAAGTCAAACATGACTTGAGAATTAATATAGTTTCTCTTTCTTAAAATGTGTATACATCTTTTTGGCACCTTCTGTATATATATAGAGTATATATACACGTGGTGTCTATATGCCTATGCACACACAAGTGAAAGAGAGATAGAGATGTTTGTTTAAGGACTTGGTGGCAGGTGCCTGTAGTCCCAGCTACTTGGGAGGCTGAGGCAAGAGGATCATTCGAACCCAAGAGTTTGAGGTTGCTGTAAGCTAAGACGCCACAGCACTCTACCATGGGTGACCAAGTGAGACTCGTCTCAAAAAAAGAGAGAAAAAAAAAGGACTTGGCTCTCATGATTATGGAGGCTGACATGTCCAAAATCTGCAGAGTTGGCTAGCAGACTGGAGACCCCGGGAAGAGCCAATGCTACAGTTTAAGTCCAAAGGCCATTAGCTGGCAGAATTCTCTCTTCTTCCAGCAAGGTCAGTCTTGTTTTAGTAAGTTTTTTTTCAGCTGATTAGATGAGGCCTACCCACATTGTGGAGGAAAATGTGCTTTGCTCAGAGTCTACTAATGAAAATGTTGATCTCATCTAAATGATACCTTCACAGAAACATGTATCTAAGAGCTAGAGGCTAGTCAAGATGACCCATAAAGGGAATCATCACAGACAATGAAAATGTATGATATTTATCCCCATTTTTCTTTTATTGTTATTTCTTCCTTACCAATGTTCCAAGATCCCTTCTTTTGTCATTTGCTTTCTGTTTGGAGAAGTTCCTTTACCTATTCTTTTAGGGTAGGTTTGCTGGTTACAATTTCTCTTAGTTTTTCTTTATTCAAGAATATCTTGATTGGGGGGGGAGGGCTAAGTAGAGTTTCACTTTGTCACCCTAGGTAGAATGTTGCAGTGTCATAGCTCACAGCAACCAAAAACTCCTGGGCTCAAGTGATACTTTTTTTTTTTTTTTTTGAGACAGAGTCTCATTATGTTGCCCTTGGTAGAGAGCTGTGGCATCACAGCTCACAGCAATCTCAAACCCTTAGGCTCAAACAATTCTCTTGCCTCAGCCTCCTGAGTAGCTAGGTAGGTGCCTGCCACAACACCAGGCTATTTTTTTGTTGCAGTTGTCATTGTCTGCTGGCCAGGGCCCAGGTTTGAACCTGCCAGCCTGGGTGTATAAGGCTGGCGTCCTACCCAGTGAACACGGGCACTGCCATCAAGTGATACTCTTGCCTCAACCTCCCTATGCCAGCCTGGCGGGAGTGTGGGGACTCCTTGCTGTAGAGCTTCACTAGGGTAGAAATCTCAGCTCCCCACTCAGTTTTTGCTAACAGGAGTGTGGGTAGGACCATTGTTTTATTCTGAGGTTGTTTGCTTAGGTCTAAAAAGATTTTGTATTGTGAGGCTTCCCTTTTTCTGGTCTTTTGGTTAAAGAGAGCAGGCTTTTGCTGGGACTTTGTATGTCTGCAACTGTTGGTATTTCTGGGACTACAGTAGCTGGGACTAGAGACGCTCACCACTATGTCCAGCTATTTTTTAGAGATGGTGTCTCACTCTTGCTCAGGCTGGTCTCAAACTCCTGAGCTCAAGCAATTCACCCACCTCAGCCTCCAGAATGCTAAGATTATAGGCATAAGCCACCATGCCTGGAGAATATCTTGATTTTTGTCATTAATTCCTGAAGGACAGTTTCACTGGATATAGGATTTACAGGTGACAGTCCTTTTCTTTCAGCCATTGAAAAATATTGTGGCATTTTCTTCTGGCCTCTATTTGAATTGCTTCTCCCCAATAAATAAGGTATTATTTTTCTCTCTGCTTTCAAGATATTTTTCTTTGTCTTTAGTTTTCAAAGATTGGTTATTTGTTTCTTGGCATGGATTTCTTTGGCTTTATCCTGTTTAGGGTTCACTCAATCTCTTGAATATATAGGTTTATGTCTTTTCACAAATTTGGAAAACTTCCATGCATTATTTCTTAGAATACTATTTCAGGCCTGTACTTTTCTCTCCTCAGACACCCTAATGACATGAACGTTAGAATTTTTTTTAATAGTCCTATGGGAGGCTGAGACTATTTAATAGTCCTTTAGGTCCCTGTTCATTTTTTCAGTATATTTTTTTCTCTGTTGCTCAGACCAGGTAACTTGTCTTCAAGTTCACTGATTCTTTTCTTCATCCCCTTCATTCTGTTACTGATCCCACCCATTGAGT